TTTGTAACGGACTCTGGGGCATGATTTTCATAGATGGTGGGGACGGTGTTCACGTTTCGTGCACTTGTAACAGACTCTGCAGGGTCATCGTAGAGTGGACTCTGAAACAATTAGCAAAATGTTCATAAGGATGAATGGTTTCAGTAAATTAAAACGTAATAAATAACCATTAGATAATTTTAAAAGGCCTTCTTGCACTAAGCACTTACTTATGACCAAAGCCGACCTACAATGGTCCAGATCGTCAGAAAAAAACATGCAACTTTTTTACCCAAGAGTTGAAAACTTAGGCCTACTAACTGCAAATGCCTTGTTTACCAGAAGTTTCTGTTCATTAATTGCACTATAAATATCCTGCAGTCATAGCAATGATCTCTGAGTGCAATCAGCTCTAGTATTGCGTGCTACGTGAACCGTATTCGTCTTAATCCTATTCACAGTTTTTCTAGGAATATGCGCGAGGGGTCAGTGAAATGGAAATATAGGATTTTGTAAATCATCATAACCAACCTGGGATTCTGTTCTTCTTGATCGGCGGCCTGAACTGGCTCTTCTTTGAACAGGATTGTGTAGGTGAGTTCTAGAAAACACGGGGATGCTATTTATTTAGAGCATAATTAGATCCTAAATACTTTGGCAGTTTGTCTATGAGAACGTCATTACAGTAGATGTTGTCTTCGTCTACTGTATATATGTAGGTCTACAACATGAAGTTTTAAGCATGGCATTTTAACACTAAACCCCACAAACCGATAGAAAGGCCCATGAAATGCATAGTTACGACCCAGAGTTTCAGAATTTGCATGGAGCCAAAATGTCTTTCATTAACGTGAAACAGAAAAGATGCTTATGAAAAAGAATTTGTCACCAATTGTCTCCAATAAGCCATGAAACTCCAATTAATCCGTTTTATATTTTGTAATTAGTCGTCACACCTTGAAATACAGAACGGTACATCAGAGCCGCGATGATAGATTATTGTTTTTTGAATCATGACATAAACGGAATATATCCACATTTTTAAAATGAGGTTTATAGAAGTGTGATAATTTAGCCTTCGTGAGCAATATTTTACACCCACCTTTTCCATATGAAAGCTGCAACTATGAGTAACGCAACAATAGCAAGGCTGCCTGCAACGCCGCCTCCGATTGCTGCTGCATTCAAGTTGGGACTTGGTACCTCGTCGTTTTTCTTTCCAGCTGGGGCTGTCGAGATAAAAAGGGGAGAATGTACCACATTTATTGTTCTAAACAAAGGTCTTCTTTTGACACCCGAGTTTCAGAGCACTGACGGTGGGTCTCTCCTTCCTTGCTCACGTTCCCCATAACCTTTTCAGTTGTTGGGAAACGGTTTGAATGAAAGTGGTGAACAGGGGTGGATCCAGGATTATTTGAAGGGGGAGGTCCGCGGATGCGAAGCCGCCCCTTCCACACCCCCCCCTCCCATGGTGTGGGGTTCGGGGCCTGCTCAAGGACCCCGAAAATTTTTTGTTGTTTTGGAGAGCAAACAGTGCCCTTTGGTACGGTTTAGAACTATGATTCAGGTAGTCAAAATGATGAGATGAGAATATTGGCGTGATATATTTTTCAGAAACCGAAGGGGGATCAGGATCCCCCTGACCCCCCCTCTAAATCTGCCACTGGTAGTGAGATACATATAACTACCAGCGAGCTTTGTGACTGTTTTTTTAAACCGTCTGCATATTTTCGATTTGAAAAAAAAAAACAGTGAATATTTTAAGATGTTTTGATAGGACAAGGGTATTTCATCATAACCTTAGGCGGCTGGGATCTATTTAACATTATAAAGACAAAATTGTTAGTCCCGCTCTTCTTCCCATCACAACACACACGCGAGCACGCGGGCACATACACACACACACACACATACTTTAAGGGAGCCAAGAGACCATTCTGAGACCAACAGAAACATGACACTTTTAATTCAATAAGTATTGGGAAATATTGGGAAAAAGAATGAATGATCGATGAACAATTAAATTCCCAAAGTCTAACCACTACTTGACACTTGACATTCTGGATCGAGCAGTGCAAATTATTATGTTACAGGAAAACCTACATGTATTAGACGTTGTGGGACAGGTTAACCTATTGACATTACTCGAGCTACCTACAAACTTATACCACAGTATGAAAATGATTTATCTCAGTCATTGTGGTTTGGAAATGTCGAATGATAACCTTAATGTACCTGTAATGTAGTTACCGTTGTCATGTTAGCAGATACTGGAGCTACAACAAGGTTTGGTAGTACAAAATTTAATGATTGCAATTTCACAGCTTTACTTTGTGTCAATGAAATATAAAAATCAAATTATGATAACTGATGCTTCAGTTCTGCTTACACATTTATAGTTATGGCTACATAAAAGTGTTCTTTCGAAAAAAACACTTTCTTTTCAATTAATTAATTAATTGATAAGACAGTGGCTTGATGGGAGTAAATTCTTAGCAATACCTGAACGCCTTTACTTAAACAAACAGCAGTTCATGTTTCCCACGTGCATAATACGTCATATGTACACTGCCAGTTAAATACTAAACACACTGCCGGTTCTTCATCGGAAGGTGGACGAGGGTATAAAATATACTGTACTCACCTGTCGTGACGTCAGCTGGAGCAAACCCTGACGTCATATCTGTTGTAGACTTTGGTGACAGTGTAGTTTTCACTAGAGGCTTATCTGTTGCCATTGTGGTTGTTGTTGCATCTACAGTCACAGACTGAATCGCAGTTGAAGCTATTTTCAATTAAATGTTGTTAATGCTGGTGATTCTGTTTTTTTAGTTGGCTTCGAAGGGCACTCAAATATGCAAACTCCGATGGTTCCACAAGAATGATTGTCAGAGTTAAATGATAATCTGGAGGCACATTTTCTTTTCTCCCACCGCCGATAAGTACACTTGAAGTAAGATCTACAGTCTCCAACAACTGGGTATTTCATGTTATCGTTGCAGCTTTTTTGTGTAAACTCACAAGGCCATTCTAAAATAAAACAAGTAATGAAGGCGTGAAAAACCAATGAGACTTACCTGTAGGTCTAAATTCCGTACAAAACACAAGCTGTTTGTCTCTATATATCTTTTAATGTGCTTTTTCTCAATATGCACGAATATGCTTTTTTTTTCAACATGTGGGTTCAGCCTGGATTGGTTAACATCGCCCTTTTTAAGGAAGACACAGTGTAAGTAATCGAAGGCCAAGCAAAAAAAGTGAACCGAGAAAACTTTCCCTGCTGTGTAAAAGCAAAACTTTTATAATCATTAGGTGTTGACGAAAGGTAAACGACCAGAATTAGTGTTTATGCAAACACAACAGTAAATGATAGCTGGTCGTCACAAAAGTAAATATAATAAACAATTTAGGTGATAAAGACACTGAAAAGGTGGAGTGTTACCTTGTGTTCCCATATTAGTAGCTGTCATCTGTACTTTTGTTGTCATCACAGAGACGAGCAGCATAACAAAACAAGTCAATTTCATCCTCTACGCAGACATAACATTGGAAAGGGGGACGCAATATAGACTTTGACTCAACACCTGACTACGTTGCATTGATTGATGCATCTTGAATGTTTACCTTGATATATTGAGGGCACATGACAGTGACCCTTGAATGCCAATATCTCTGCTATGATTTCAACACAAAGGCTGGGCCTATTTAGATGTTCAGTTTACGGATAATGTTTTGTCAAGTAAATTATAAGTCATACACATAAGCATACACATAAGCATAGATATCTGTTAGGGGGGTCTGATATGTTTTGCCATTGAATCAAACGCATTACCACACGGTTGCTATTCATTATTAAGATATTTGTTATATGTAATTAATTATAGATTAAAATTGTCGCTTGTGTTGTTTTCATTTAGTTGTCTCTTCAAATGGGTACAGTGCGTGACGTAATAAGTAGGGGTGTCGAAGAATAACATGAAAAGGTAGTGGTGATTTAGAATTCTGCTGTTATTGAATGGGGCAGCCTGCAACGACAACTTATTCATGACAGAAACGATGTCTTATGGATGTACTCCTCATATCTGTTCAAATGAGTATTTTTTATCATTTTCAAATGTTAAATCGCTGGTTTAAAATTTCGATTTTCTTCACTGATCCATCTGAGCGCCTAGACTGCTCATCTCGCCGTCTCTTACCTTCCTTTTATAAGCATTTCATGTCTGCAAGTTGTCTGTTTTGTGCATTTTTCTGCCACGAACAGACATCCCACCTTTTTCAAATACTCCGCCATTACATTGGAAAACAAGATGTGTCCAAGGGTGCTGTGAGCCAAACATTCCCCACGGCTGGCCTTACCTGACTACGTGAGTGTTATCACATCCGGGTTCGTTAAGTGGGCATCATTAACCAAATACTAATACATGCCAGGTTTACACGTATCAGACTTGTGTCAGTGCTGAAGTATGTGTCATACCAGTAGATGGCTAAAACGGTGTCTGTGTAAATTTCTTTTTTTTATCCAGTGTATGCCTATTCTTGAAGCGCCTGCTTAATGTCCATCTAAATATTTGATGGTCTTCATCAACGGGTTTCATTAGATCTCTGTTTGTCTGTCTGTCTGTCAGTAATAATGAATTTATTTAATTAATTAATTATTTATTTATTTATGTTTAATTTAGCTTCTGTTAGTTTTTGCAAGTTTTTATTTCATTTACCGGTAGTCATTCGTTTTTTAAATTAGTTAATTCATTTATCTACTGGTGATTTATTTGGTAATATATCATGCATATCCTGTTCACCCTAATGTTCAAAATATTGATTTTCCATTGTTGTAACAAGTGCGCAGTTTGAGTGCATGTTTAGATAACGGGAGTCCATTGCACCACACGTTCATGTATTACTCAGGGTATCATATAATATACTGCCAAGTCTGCACCATTTTATCAGTTACTTAGGTCTGTGTTTGCACATACCTTTTAATGTGTCCTGATACATCAACGAGGATTAATCGTGGGCCTACCCAAACATTTTTTGTATATTACTTTTGAGAATACTTTTTTTTTCAAAAGTTATTCATTTTGTTTGTGTACGTATAGTGGCAAAAAGTTGTGCACAATTAAACTGTTTTTTTTTTAATTATAACTCAAAACGGCCGACGACGGTCAACATCGTCTGAAAATACATTAAACATTTTTGACCCGGAATTAAGAGCTTAATGGCTTGATTGCCAGAGATATCTTATGTGAACAGCGCTTAAGATCACCATGTGAAGCGCACTTGGCATGGGTTCTAATCACAGCGCAGTTAATGATTACACATACATGCATCATTTTAAACGTATTATATATGATAGTAAATATATGATTCATGTTGCACACGGCGCTGTGCGATATATCAACCCTTTTTTCCGTTGAGGGGCGTGTTGGATTGATTGCCCTTTGCTACTACAGTGTCCTTAGAGCCCTATGACTTAAAAAAGAGGGGGGGGCGTGTCATCCGGCCTGTGGTACCAAGCATGTCCAGGTTCTCTAGTAGTTACAAACTGAGCAAAGCTTCCTCATACCGTGTCTACCAAGTACGGCCTACATTGTTAAAGTATCAATCGCTTTCCTGATTTGCCATTCTTTGCACCCTGTGTTTAGAGGACCCTGGGACTTTATAGTCAACTGCCTATAACTAGCATGCCTCTATGGTTCTAATACTGATGGTATGTCGTTTGAAACTCAGGGTGCTATGTCGATGATATTGCTGATATCTACTGGTTGGGCAAGTCTGAGCTGATATGAAAAATTATAATACACTGTAGTATAGCAAACGGGCAATCTAACACCAGAAATAGGTTTAAGTTAAACAATCTAACCAACATTGCCATGTACTTATTTTATTTCATCATAAATAATGAGTTGAAATAACTTTGATTTTAGCTGCTGTTTACAAAAAGTATGAGTAAAAGACAAGTTAAGAGCATGCTTTTATGCCTAGATTTCCTAACTGCTCTATAAAAATTGACATACTCGCCTCAATAAAGGCACATTGTTCTCACCCCACATCCTTTGTGGGTATATTTCCTTAATCTCAGCAATATGAGAAGAAGCTTTCTTAACTGTCGCTGCGGAAAGGTGTTATTTGACAGCATTTAAGGATAGGTACAAAATGATAGTGTATCCAATATCATACAGTATTGTTGCAGGTAAGGATTTTCATTTTTAGTGTTTTAGACAGGTACAGACGTGAGGGGGGGGTGTTGGGGGGGGGGGGAGGAGGGTTCTACCTGAAAGAAAATACAGAAATTACTAGGGATGTGAGAAACTAAAATTCCCCTCAAACCCTCAAACCCTCACCA